TTGTTGCGGAAGCCAAATGTATATAGTGTGAATGAGTCACAACTACTATACCAAAAATTATAACAACCACTAAATAATAAACAAGACAATAAGACAACAATAAAAGAACACCAGAATTTACGAGGTTCGGCCAATTTTGCCTACTTCCTCGGACACAATCAATATTTTATTCCACTGCAAAATTACAAGTGAAATAATACTAAAGAGAGAAGATACAAATGCCTTAAGAAGATAAAAGGCAAATGAGAGGTGTATATAAATCCTAAACATTAGGCCTCCTTTTATAGGGTGAAATTCTCATTCAAAATTGTCATCCACCGATGTGGTACTTTTGCCAATTTCAACAAGGTAGAGGTGGATCCAGGATTTTAAGCGGCTTCAACTTTTATGTTTTCGCTGTTGAACCCATCACATTATTGCATTTATGGGTTCAAAACTTAATACTCCCTTCATTTTGAAATTAATGAACCTATTTCTTTTTTAGTTTTTTACAAAAAGAATGATCCTTGTATAAATTTGGAAATAATGTAACTTTAAACTTCCCATTTAGAGGATTTATAGTCACACAAATATCTATGGATTGTTTTAGACCACAAGTTTCGCAAGTTTTCCATTGTTTCTTAGAACCCCGTGCAAAGTCAAATAGGCGGGTTCATTCTTTTTGAAATTGAGGGAGTAGTACTTATTTGTTAAGTTTTCAGTGATCTGTTTACATATAGTCGTCTATGCTATGTGTAAAAAATTATTGGGTTCGCTCGTAGAGTTTATGCTGCATCCTCCTCTGAATTATGAGGTATTATTGTCCCTCAGGGAGAGGAGTATACCAGTTGTGAGGGAGGCTTGGTTGAGTGACAGTATTGAAAAGGAACAAGCCCAGCCGTTAGATGCATACGACATCGCCAGTGACATTGCTGTAGAAGGTAGAGGTATTCCACTTGATAAGATGGATCCAAGTGAGGAGGCACTCGAAACCATAACAGCTGAGGTATGCTTCCGCCTTTTCATATTTGCGACTTACATTTGAGGTTTGCTTCAACTATTGTCTTTTGTTTATTGTAGCTAAAAGTTTTTGGAAAGAGAGGGGTGCACAAAGACACTAAGATGCAGGATGAAGGCGCAAGAATATTGGAGAAAGATGGATTATTGTATAATTGTGCACTGTCTGTTTGCAACCAAAAGAACCAAATCAATAAGTAATGCACAAAAGTGGTCCAGTTTTTTTAAGTTCCTAATAGTATCGGCAGTAACTGATGAAGTGAATTCTTTAAATTGATGCAGTTTCTGCATTATGCAACTTATCATGTCGCCGGAGAATTGTTTGCACATGTACTGTAAAAAGGGCAGAATTGGTGATAGCATAAGAGCAGATGACAAGCTAGAGGAATGGGAAGATGTCGACGATGCGATTAAGGAGTTTGCTAGGCTCTTCCAAGAGCTAACTGGAAATGAGTTCGAATCCTGGGAAAGGGAAAAAAAGATTCAGAAGAAACATCACAAGTTTTTCCCTATCGATGTCGTATGTCACTCTTTAAATTCATTGTTCTTCAGGAAACAATTACATAGTGTTTGCCAAACGTTAAGGCATATATGTCGTTAATAACTGCCGATTTGGAATTCTTTAGGATGATGGGGTGGAGGTTAGGCATGGAGCGCTCGGCCTAAGGCAACTCGGTTCTTCTGCTGCACATAGTAAGCTTGACCCAATGGTAGCAAATTTCATGAAAGTCCTTTGCAGTCAGGAGATCTACAGGTATTACGCCGTTCAAACTGGTGATGATTTCTCTTTTCCTTGCGCATCTGAAACAAACCTAAAGTGTTGTATATATGGCGGATGAAGGTATGCTTTAATGGAGCTGGGACATGATTCACCCGAAGTTCCCATCGGAATGCTTACTGATCTTCATTTGAAAAGATGTAAGTCTTTCTATGCATAGTGCATTGTTTACAGGTAATAAATGTTTCGAAGTTTATTTACTGTTGCTCTACAGGTGAAGAAACTCTATTGTATTTTGTGGAAAAAGTAAAATCGGTGAAGGAAACAGGGCAGGAAGCAGAGGGTGTTTGGTATGACTTCAGCCAAAGATGGTTTACTCTCATGCCATCTATAAGGCCTTTTACTTTCAGGGACTACACCGATCTCGCCGAGCATGTAAAAGTCATTTTTCTTTTTCTTTCTTTTTTTCTTTCAAATCTTTAGCATTATATTTTAAAGTGTTCATCTTACTCATTGCAAATTTTCAAGGCTGCATCTGCCTATGAAACTATTCGGGACGTCAATTTTGCGTCGCGCATTATTCAGGACATGTCTGGCTCTACACTCGATGATCCTCTCTTCGAGCGTTACAAGAAACTCGGCTGTATTGTTTCTCCTTTAGAGAAAGAGTCAGATGACTACAAAATGATAGTGAACTACGTCGAGAAAACTTACGAACCGATCAGCGTCGGAGAAATGGTAAGATTTATTCTCCCTTTCCAATCATCTGTTTCAAATCTGGAACCTTCACTATGATCTGAACTTAAGAATTGCGCGTTTCACCAGAGCTATGGGGTATCAGTTGAGAATATATTTGCTGTTGAAGTTAGTTCTTGCCCTTCCCTTGATGACATCAAGAAATTACCAAACAAAGTTCTTCTCTGGTGTGGTAAGTATTTTCTAACAGTATTATCTTATAGTTCTCTGGCATATAATTCTCGGTTGATGGTTGTGTTCACGACGATGAATGTTATCGTCGATCAGGTACAAGGAGTTCAAATCTTTTGAGGCACTTGCAGAAAGGTTTCTTACCTTCAGTTTGTTCACTTCCTGTATCAGGATACATGGTACGAGATTGTTTTCATAAAAGAAAATGATTTTACAAATGAGCTTTCGTTAGCATGCATTTGCACTCACCGCTATATATGTGTGCAGTTCGGAAGAGCCGTTGTTTGTTCGGATGCTGCAGCAGAAGCTGCCAGATATGGTTTCACAGCTATAGACAGACCAGAAGGTTTCTTGGTATTAGCTGTTGCTTCACTAGGAGAAGAAGTTAAGGAATTCTCTAATCCTCCAGAGGTAGGAAAGTGAATATTGAAGAAAACGACTCTGAAAAGGTTTATTTTGTATTTGATCTGATTGTGTGATTTGTATTGTAAGCAGGATACTAAAGCACTGGAAGAAAAGAAAATTGGAGTAAAAGGACTTGGAAGGAAGAAAACTGATGAGAAAGAGCATTTTGTTTGGAAGGATGATATTAAAGTACCTTGTGGTAGGCTGATTCCATCAGAACACAAGGATAGTGTCCTCGAGTACAACGAATATGCCGTCTATGATCCACAGCAGGTACTTTATATATACATTTTTGTGAGTTCAACTTCTATGTGCGGTCAGTGTACAATTTTGATTTACATTTTTAAAACCCAAACGAAACAGTCAACCTAAACGATCTACAGCTGTCCGTAATAAGGGGTGTAGTAACTTGAATACTGTGGCATGTAACCTACTACAATAGGTTTAATATGTGGTTTGAAGCATGGGCGGAGCTTTAGGGGGCGGAAGAGGGGAGGACCTATGTTATCAAGTGAGGGGCCATAGGCACCCGGAAAGTTCGACAAAATTTTCCTGAATACATATATATATATATATATAGGAAATACTGATATATTAGTAGTGGCACCTTGTATACAAAGTGGATTTTGGTCAAAAGCAGAAGTACACTCCGACCTTCAAATTTTGGGTCCGCCTAATGACCGAACATATGTGTCGGGATTTTTGTTGTGTAAACAAAGTCAATTTTTGTTTTGTTATATATTATGTTAGATGTTGAATACTCTAAACTTCTTGACATGCTTACTTTTTTCATTTTTGGAATCCCCGCGTGATATTGACATATTGCATTGTTCTTGTCTGTCTAGGTGAGCATAAAGTACTTGGTGGCGGTGAAATTCGACAAGCAAGGTGTAGTATATGATACATCTGAAGCATAGCAATGAAGGAAAATGGAGCAGGGAATTGTTGTACATCCATATTTTGCCTATTCTCCTGTATTCGCTACGGACTTTGGGAGTAGTTTGTTTTGCTGTAGTTAAGAAGGCAATCACTGTGTTTTGTGTATGTTGTTCATACTTTTCTTATGTGGTAGATGTTGATCTTCTGCTCTTTTTTGTTACTTCAGCCAAGTATGATCTCTGTTGTAATGTTACTATGTCTGAACATTATTTTTCTCCTTTGCTTTGAAGTTCCTGTTCATATGTTATAATGTTGGCAGCTGCTATGTGGATATGGCTATTTCTCGATTTAGCTTTTGCATATTTACAATGAAGATCCTTTTGAACACAATCTATAATATTTAAGCCTCATTTTGTAGAGGATAAGATCGTTTATATGTTCATTTTGGCTTTGTTATTCTACGCTGAATTAAACATAATACCATAGCTTTAGTGTCTGTTTTGTGCATAAAGGAGTAAATAGTCATACCATAATTCTAAGGTGTAGGTCCAAAGTTCATACTTTTTTAAACAAAAAAATAAAATGACAAACCATGGGACAAGTTAGTTTTTACCATCTTCTTTTCATGACTATACTTTTGAATAAAAACGAAAATGACAAAAAAAAATGAAGATAAAATACTCCTCTCCCTTTAAAAAAAGGAATAACTCTATTTCTTTAAAAAATGAACAACTATTTGTTTATTAGCCACGAAAAGAATAGCATATTTTAATCACACTAGAGAGACCTACGACATCTCATTTGGAGTATCTTCCGCTCAACCAACTATTTTGACATCTTTAGGATTATAAATTTCAAATTTTATACTACACAAATATTTTGGTACATCCAAAAATTTTAAAAATATTTATTTCTTTTTTTAAAATTTGTGCCTACTCAAATTATGCCAATATCTATTTAAACGCGGGAAATATATAAACTCCTCATGATAATTTTATAAACTGTAAATATCACACTTTTACCTATAGGCCAATCTAGAAAATCTGAAGAATAAGCAAGGGTATTAACGTAAACTCAACACTACCAACGGACCTCCCAAAAACCCTAACCATATATATAAATGCGCATCATTTCACCAGTAAGAAACCCTAGAAGCAGTCCCTAAAACGACCACCGAAGAAGAAGGCTTTCATAGTTTTTTCAAGTAATTTCTCTCTTTATATTTCTTCTTCTCTGTTTCTTTTTAAGTGTTTCAATTTTTGTATCTAACAATTTTCTGTTTGGGTTGTGTAGATTATTTGGATACAGAGAGGAAAAAATGAAGGTAATTGCAGCTTACTTGTTGGCCGTTTTGGGTGGCAACGCATCCCCTTCAGCTAAAGACTTGAAAAGCATCCTTGGCTGCGGTAAAAAAAACTTTGTATTTACTCACTCTGTTTCATTTTATAGATACTGATATTATTTGGAGTGATGTTTTTTTGTCCAAATTTAGATAGTTTAATTATACAGTATGCCCATGGTTTTGGTTTAGGATTAAGGTAGTACAGCATTGGATGTGTGATACTTGTATTTCACGACTTGGGTTCTTGTTTCGTGATATGTGGGTTAGGCGAGTGTCACGGATTTGAGATAGAAGTATGGTATTTAAGTGGAGAAGGGTAGAGGTGCAGGCTATTTAATCACCGAGTGGAAGTTAAAGAAAGGACCATTTTGGAAACTTGTGGTCTAAAACAATTATGTTGCTATAAATCATCTTATTAATAGAAAAATGAACATCAAAGTTAAATTGTTTTTAAATAAGTATGACACTCTTTTGGGAATAGATTAAAAAGGAAAGTATGTCATAAATTGACTAAAAGAAAGTATACAATATAAATTGGGACAGAGGGAGTACAATATACTTGGGAAAAGCTCAATATATGACAAGTGGGTATATATGGTTTGGCCATTGGGTTTAGCATATAAGTTTTTCTTAGAAGAATTAATGTCCAAATAAACATTGTAAAACTGAATGGATTTATCTTTTAGACTTGGAAGGCGAGCCTTGACTTTACTGATAAAGCTTCCTCCATGTTATCATGAGGTTACAAGTTCGAGCCGTGTAAATAACCTCTTGCAGAAATGTAATGTAAGGCTTCGTCCAATAGGCTCTTGTGGTTCAGCCTTTCCTCGGACCTCGCGCATAGCGTGAGCGTAGTGCATCGGGCTGCCATTTACTTAGAACTAGTTATTCTTGTCAGCAACTAGATCCTTGTATATTGGGGTAAGCTATTTGTTTTATATTTAGGTGCCTAGAACCATCTGAAATGGGTAATGAAGTAATATAATTTCTGGCAATTCTTTAATTTTCGGACTTGCAAAACTAGGATTAAACTTTGTTACATGGGCAGAATATCAGAAGGCCTGGGATAGACTTGGGCTTTATGGAAAGAGTATGTCCTCCATCCCCAAAAGAAAGGGGGATGAGTTCTGGAAGTATGAGGATTAACACATCTAATTTTTATTGACATTGATTTCTTAATCATTTTGAAATAAATTTGCCTTATTAAGAATTATGAAAAACTAGAATGCTTCGCTATCTGGTTGGCAAAATTCATTAGTTTTTGACCAACTCGTTCCCTTGAAGCAAAAGTGAGTGTGATGCTCTTTGTATATATCTCTGTCCATATACCCATTTTTCTTTGTGGTTGGAGAATACAAGGGCATCTACATGTTATTGTAATAATTACCATCTAAAAAAAAGAATTATGAAAAAACTAGAAACCAAAATTTTTTTGTAGTTGAATTTAAAAATAATGTTCAAATTTGTAGTAGAAAGTGATTCAAATTTGCAAGTAATTATGAAGTTGACATTTACTCCATGTTTGCCAGGCTATTAGCGTATGCGATAGACTAGGTTTATTGACTAGAAACTGGTGTTGCTAGTTCCCTGTATCATTTCATATATTTCTCTTATCAATAACTATCATATACACATGCGGCTTGTGGCTTGTTGTTTGTTTCACACTCATGTTTGAGGTTCCACATGCTCTGCAGTTGGTGCTGAGGCTGATGATGACAGAATCAAACTGCTTTTGTCTCAAGTGGAGGGAAAAGACATCACTGAGCTGATTGCTGCCGGCAGAGAAAAGTTGGCTTCAGTACCTGCTGGTGGTGGTGCTGTTGCAGTTGCTGCACCTACTGGTGGAGCTGCTGCTGCAGCCCCTGCTGAGGAGAAGAAGGAAGAAAAGAAGGAAGAAAAAGAGGAGTCCGACGATGTACGTATCCTAACATAGATAAGCCGGCCCTTTTATTGTACATTGTGTTGGCTTCATCTTCTTTAAATGTCCTTATCATCTGTTAACATTGTTTTCTTGTATTCTTTTGCAGGACATGGGCTTCAGTCTTTTCGATTAGAAGAATATATTGGTCTCCCTGCATAATGTATTCCCTTCACCGGTTTCCCTTGAGCTTATTTTAGGAAGTTTGTTGTCTACTTACAGATTTTGTTGTTAGCACAGTTGAAGAACTTAGATTTTGCTTTAAAAACTTGCTTGAGGCTGACATTGGAAATTATAATGATGTTGATTTCAAAATTACAATTTGTTGTTTGATGCATCATTTCGTTGTCTTTAATAGCTATAATATTCAGATGTGTTTCCCAAAAGGATGTTGAAAGCTGTACGGCAAATTCAAGAAACATATACCTGTATTAACTAGGTGTTCTACTAATTAATTATTTTGATATAACATATTCACTTCTCATCTTGAAATAAAAAACATATTTTACTTGCCATTATCAAACATTTCCACTAAATGATCCATTATCTAAGAATATCATGTATTAACTACTAAAATAATAACTATGACATTAGAACTGTCAAAAGACAGGACCAAAAAAGAAGTGAAAATGGCACGGGCTACGGGTTTCACCATTTACCAGGTCTGAGTTGTGTCTTGTCATTTCCTTCACTGATGAATCAATGACACAGATCATTTCCCTAACAGCTGATGTACAATCCGTCCCCCGTGAGTGTGAGGAGTAGTAGGAATTCACAATTTCACTTAGCCTTTTACAACTTGGAATTACTATTGTATAGAATAAAAGTCTTGTGCTGGTAATCACAAAATATCCGATGTTTGCAAACTCTTTGAAAAATAGTTACTATTTTATGTGGAGATAAAACAGTAGCAATATACTCAATATTATCCCACATCGTGGGATCTGTGAGGGTAGTGTGTACGCATGCCGTACCCCTATCTTGTGAGGATAGAGACGATGTTCCCATATATCCTCGGCTCAGGAAAATATAAGCATCATATTAATTAAAATATAGATAGGGGACAACCCCAAAAATCTATATAAAAGCAGAATAAAAACAACAAGATAGTAAGGTGATCAAGAATGAAAGAAAACAACGGTTAGTCATAAAAACTACTACCAACAGAGACATGGAAAATTCCAGCATAATATGCTGGATTATATAGCTTGTACGTATAAACTTCTACATATTATGTTGGAACACCAGTACATTATGAAATTTCAGCACATTATGCTGGAATCTCAAAAAATTTGAACTCCAACATATTATGTTGAATTTTTTTTGGGGTTTTAAAGATGTTTTTGTTCAAATTTTATCTTTACGTAAAAAAATGACTAAATTTTGATTACATTTAAAAATGTTACTTTTTTTTATATTACTAATTAGACTAATTTGATTTCCCCCCAAAAAAGAGCATTGAACTCGAAGAAAGAGTTCTTGCTGAGATAGCACATATATGAATACGAGGCTACGGACCAAATAGCAGCAATAGTTCGAGTTCGAATTCTCTATGTAGAAATGGCGTAGGATAGTCAATTTTTAACATGATATTTTTTATCCAATATTTTTAATAGTGAACAACAATAGTTATTACTTTATTAAAATTAATACAAAAAAATGTTGCTATCCTTTCTTCACGAGTGTTGTGTAAATATTAAGGACATGATATCGTTAATATTTACACTGCACATATGAAGTTAAGGACATGATGTCCTAAAGTTTAACAACAGAAGGTACAAATACAAGACACTTTGTCCTTAATATTTACACAACATTCATGAAGTTAATGACACCATGTCCTTAATATTTACACAACACTCATAAAGTTAGGGACACTATGTCCTTAACATTTACACTGTACACATGAAATTAAGGACACTATATCTTTAACATTTAAACTGCACATACGAAGTTGAGGACATGAAGTCCTAAAGTTTAACAACAGAAGGTGCAAATACAAGTTAAGTACATTATGTCTTTAACATTTACACTGCACATATGAAGTTAAAGACATGATGTCCTAATGTTTAACAACGGAAGGTGCAAATACATGACACTTTGTCCTTAATATTTATACAACATTCATGAAGTTAAGGACACCATGTCCTTAATATTTATACAACATTCATGAAGTTAAGGACACCATGTCCTTAATATTTACACAACACCCATGTCTAGCACATGGGTATTTTCGTTCGGACGGATAAAAATTTATTAAGCACTCGCTAAAGAGTAAATACATTTTAAATAGTGGCTAAAGAGTAAAGACATATCTAATTAGTGGCTAACTGTGTACTTCTCCCCAATTCTATTGGGGTCAAATCTAACCCAAAATCAGATAGGCCCGTTGTATTACTGGGCCAAATGCACAAGCACAACCAGCTATTTTTAGGACAACTATTTAAAAAAAGGAAAAATAACATTGTATAGCCGCCGTAAAAATAATAGTCGAAAAAATATTATAAAATTTATATATTATTTTTGTATATATACATTCTATATGTTATATACAAAAATTATATAAATTTTATACATTTTTCGACTATCAAATGTAAATAATTTGTGACGCGAGCTAATAATGATAATACCCCTATAACTCTAGAGTCCAGACGTGAGCAACAGACCTAAGGACCGAAAACTTACAAGGCGCGATTAAATAATACTCGCTCCGTTTCAAATTAGATGAGTTACTTTCCTTTTTAGTTTGTTCAAAATAAATGTCAAATTTTTAAATTTAAAAATAATTAACTTTAAACTCTTCATTTTACCCATTTTACCCTTAATAAAAAGTTTTTATAACCACACAAATATCATAACCCCACAAAACTTTTATCCCTTAAACTTTTAAGACCACAAGTTTTAAAAATTTTCTTTTTTTTCTTCTTAAATTTCGTGTCGAATCAAACTAACTCGTCTAAATCGAAACGGATGGAGTAAAACAATCTGGTTAACTGGACTCAAATGTAACTTCACGGTACAACTTTGCAAATACATTGTACAAGCTCCATAGAAGCTCCAATCTCTTCCATTTTAAATTGAATCAGCAATGCCCAACTTGACCCGTTCCATTTTCGTCGCCCAAATCAGCCCGTTTCCGTCGCATAACCCAGGAAATCAGACTTTCATTCTTTGCCCGCTGACAGTCCTGCAAACCTTCGCTAAGATCCTCCTAGCTTCGCGCACTTATACCATCCGCAGGTGAGGTCTGTGTGTGTGTGTGTTTGTGTGTGTTCGCGTCATACACTTCTCCCCTCTATTGTTCCTTTTCACTGTTTTGTTTAGTAAAACTTCAAACTTGGTGGGTCTTGCAATTTATTTCGATATTTTCCTTCCCTTGTTGATTTTCTTATTTCTTGCATTTAGCATTCTGCAGGTTATGCTGCTACTTTTTTCTGCTAAGTTACATGGTTGTTACATATTACATATAGAATCTGAAAATGTTTGACCGAAAGCTGGTGAAATCATTATGGATTTTGGTTATTCTGTGTGCTGTGTATTGTCGTGCTGTGCTGGAAGTATCTTTTGTACATGTGTTGTGCTCATCTGATGTTGCCAATAAATCTTTTTAATCTTGTGTTGGGTCGGTAAGTTTCTTGTATATACACATTACACATAGTATCATAATGATTTAAGAACACATATGGTTCTGATTAACTCTAAAATCTTCTCCTTTGTATCTTTGTTTTGATCTTTTCAAGGGTTCTCTTTAATGGATAAAAAATGATGGGTCATTGTGAGCAGGTTGGGCTATGACCATTGGTTAGCCAATCTTGACACACCCATCATAGCCCAAATAAACTTAGATCGGGTCACTAACCTGCCAATTTATTGATGGAAAAACTACACAGTGTAGGCACTCCAAAAAATAAATAGCCGACAAAATGTATATTTTTTTGTATATTAATGTATAATATAAATATTTTATACATATATTTTGGCTAGCGGATGTAATTATTTTTGCCGACCGGCCAAATGTGTAACTTGCCCTTTATTCATTCAACTCATTTTAATCCGCCCATTTGCCACCACTAGGCACATCTAATAGAGGTCCAAAGAAAGCACGCCCGTCAGTTGGCCCATGAACTTGGTACCGTCTCTTTTGCAGTGAGTAGCCGGTGAAAAGAACCAACCAAATGGCGGAGACAACCGCTGTCAAAGGTGGAAGTACGGTGGAGGAATGCCAAGACATGATCCGAAGAAGTCTTAGAAGTACGTTCTTCACATCTCTTCTTAAATTCTTAACTTTTGTTGTTACACTTATTGTACGTCGCCTTTGGGTGGTTGTGCTATTTGAGAACCTCTAGTTTTAAATTTACCTTAAACAGATTGGTAGGAGGATATCAGAAAGCTGACACGAACATCACCATTATAGAAAATGCCTTAAAAGATAAATTTATTTAGTATTGTTAGAAGTGTACTTGAATAGAGCATATTGATTTAGATAATTTATATAGTTGATTCAAACTAGTTTAAGATTGAGGTGTGATTGAATGAAGTTGATTGATATGCATTTTTATTGCAGCTCCCATGGTCAAGTTTTTGAAGGAGCACTTGGAGAAATCTGGTTGTCGTATTGGCGATAACTTCATAAAAGCTATCCATTGCGACAAGAAGGTCAGCGGCGGCTATGTTCGCGGACAAGGGGTAATCAACCATAATTTTTTATTCCTTGACTGTTCACAACCTATTAGAGGTTGATGCTGTCGATTTAAGTTATCTGCATTCTGCAATTGTGAATTTGAAGAATTTCTTGTAGTGTTACAAAATATAGTTTTGCTAAATTTGTGTGCTTGGAGTTGACAAACTCAATTGAAACCCTGTGGGACAGTGGGAGGAACAAATCTTTTTATTTGAGAGCAGATAGAGAGTGAACGACAAATTTGGGATTTTAACTCAGTGGGTGTCAATTACCGCTGCACTATCTACTCCTTGACTATGGGTGCAGAGTTAGTATAAGTATTTATTAAAGAAATTTTTAACAGTATATATACTTTGGTGCAAATGGAAAGGATGCGCCCCGCTGTCCGTAAGCTACATCCACCCATGTATAGTGTGAATGTCATGAATGCCTAGTAATACGATGTTAGAATTTTCATGTGCTATATTCTTAAATATTTTCATTTTCCCTATCATTGTTGACATTTGGTAATCGTCCTCTATGTCAAGTTTAATCATAATAATACTCTTGCGTTATGGATCTTTTTAATGTCATTTTTAGCACTAATAATTTTTCCTCTTATTTTCTTCTTGTATCATTATGCGCGTTTGGTTATCTTTGTTTTCTTCATTGTTTTGGTT